GAATCAGATTTTTCCCGCAGTAGGTTGCCATTTCTTTCGGCGGTAGTGGTGAAGGTTTCGTGCAGGACCATCCACACTTTTTGAAGGGCCGAATACAGAGACCTGGTGCACTACGTGCCACAAGGTCCACAAACAACCCTCCGCAGGTTTTGATTTCAGAGTTTTCCTTCTCTTAGACCAGTTGCTATCCAAGGCTATAGAACCCGGTCTATCCTGCTATTTATCCATAGCTGGGGAGAGAAGAAGAGGAATTCATACCTTTCCCAATTGTATTAGCACGTAAGGAATGTAATGGATTCGACTGGGATTCGAACTAGGCTTGAAGTGAACACCCAAATGGGACAATTGCGTTAAGCATAAAACAGACTTGTTAATAATTTGAATATATATATATATATATATATATATATATATATATATATATATATATATATATATATATTTATGATTCAAAGAGACACAGAAAATTTCTATTTTTCAAAACTGGAACTAAATTTAATTATTAAAATTAAACTTAGAATCCATAGTCACGTGCCATTGTCAAGCGATGATAGAAATAAAATTATAAATCTATTATAAATTTTATAATTATAAATTTATATATATATGTAATTAATTCGAAAATTATAACATAAACATGTTATTGCATCAATACAAAAATAGCCATTTTATTTCATCACTTCTGGTGTCATATCAAGTAATGGTGTTGCAGAATCAACTCCATCACTTGTCAAGACACCAAAAGTTTTGAAATATGCACTCTTTGCCTGATGAAGGTCGCGAGACAGGAAACTCGTGTAGCAAAATTATGGAACATAAAGCATAATATATATTTTTTTAAATTCCCATTAAAACCAAAAACGTTTGCGGTTTGTCTCTTCTTTTTAACACACACACACACACACACACACACACACACACACACACACACACACACACACACACACACATATATATATATATGTGTGTGTGTGTGTGTAAATAAATACACACATTTTTTACTTGTTGTACAACATTCTGCACTGCATACCTCCGGTGTTTATATATATATATATATATATATATATATATATATATATATATATATATATATCAAATTATTGACAATTGCAAAACGTTCATGAAAATTTGTTTTCCAAATATATCTGATTATGTATTTCGCCGTTTAGGCGTCATCAGATCAAAAGCGAAAAAGTGAGTTCCATGTTTGTATATTTGTGCATATTTAAAAAAAATGAAATCATTTGACATTGAACCAAACTTTTAGCAACAAATCTCGCAATCAATACCTTAGAATCCCTTCACATTATGTCACTGGGAAACGTGAATCCAATAATGCGCAACGAGTCTCTCTCTTGAAGGAAAAATGGTTCTTTATGATGATTAAATGATAGCAGTTTCGCATTTGAGGTGTTATAATTTACACGCCATTTCTTGCCCCAGTTAACAACTGATTTTAAGTCATTTCCGAGAGTAGTTGTCAGTTTTACTTTGTCGGACCTATCAGATGTACTAGAAGTAAATATGGTAGGTCTTCTGTTAGGAAAGTTGGTCCAATGTATCTTGCTTTTGCCAGAGACTATCTTACGTATTTTTAAGTCTACCATTCATCCATGCTTTGAATATTGCTGCCACATCTGGTCTGGTGCTCCTGCTACATTCTTGATGAAATACTAAGTAGTATCTGCAATGATATTGGTCCTGACCTGTCATCTCGGCTTTAATCATTTTCCCACCTCCGTGGCGCTGGTTCCCTGTGCCTTTTTCTATAAATACTTTCATGGTAATTGTTCTGATGAACTTTCCTCTATGGTACCTAGACTTTATGAATTTAACCGCCTTACTAGATTAGTGGCAAAGATCTCATCATTTTACAGTTGAATTAACTAGATGTTAACCGCAAGTTCTATGCTAACAGTTTCTTCTCTCGCACTTCTCGTTTGTGGAACTCTTTTCCGGCTTCTTGCTTCCCAGTCAACTTTGATCTTCAAAACTTCCGCCCTGTCGGCTGGGGATGTAGAATACGCCGACTGCACCTCTGCAGAGGGGGTAAGACCCCCCTACCAATGGGGCGTCCTGGGTATGACGATAAACTACATCCGCATCCAAGGGTATGACAATAAACTACGCCCAACAGCAAGGCCTCTGATAAGGTTGTTCTGAGGAGCGCAGAACCACCTCTTAATTGCTGGTGTTCCCAGGTCCACCCTGACCCGGAGTGGTAGCACCTGTTAGGGTCCCAGCTATGGGCAAATAGTTAAACGTGAAACTGAGGTAAAAAATCATTAAAAAAGCGTAAAAATAGGTTTTGATACCAGAAATATTTTGAAAAAAATTATTACCATTAATTTTTGAAGAAAAAAAAAAAACTATTACCAGCTATACGTTTTTGGAAAAAAAAATATTACAAGCAATTCTTGTGATTGTACTCAAAAATATGAGTAATTGAAAAATGGTTCGAATATATGTGTATGCATACACATCTTTTTTTTTTACCAAACTATCACTATGTATTTATTTCAAAAATTTTGTTGGCATTAATTGTGATAAATACGGCGACAAAGATGAGAACAATAGTCCGAATAATGTAAATAGTGTACATAATACCTCATCTCAGAAATATAGACAGATACTCTTTGGATCATGTCACTGGAAACGTTGTGATAAATATGGCGAAAAAGATAAGGACAATATTCCGAATAATGTAAATAGGGTACATAATACCTCATCTCAGAAATATAGACATATCTAGAATTATTGGAATGTTTTTATTTTCCAAACACGGTCAGCACATTGTGGCCGTGTTCATAGTTGATGTTATTGGGTGATGTCTTCTTTTTTTTCATTTTTCATTTAATAAAATGCTCAATCGTAGTACTTTATCAGTAGTCTTTAATGAAACATGTATAAAATAGGGATTGCTGCCCAAATACACACCTAGTTTTATTTTTCTGTCAGCATGAATAGCAAGTAATCTCTTGGCTTTTGATGGATGGTTCCTAGTGATGTTCATACCATTTTTGAGCATTATGCGCACGATAATATTGTCAAATCCTGCAGTGAATATAATATATCATATCATGTTTGGTATTCCAAACACTGAAAGATCAATTGACCCAACATGTTGTTCAAATAAAGAACATATTTTACCCGCATCATTTATTGTTCTCCTCGTAATTCCAAGTGAATATGTTTTGGTTCTTTGCAGCGGTAATAAATGACTTCAACTCTACTTTTAGGCATGATTTTATCTCTGTACAAATTTGGAATAGTTTACATAATTATTTAGACATTTAGTAAAAATTTAATTTTTCTCGTAATTTGAAATCTGTAGATTGCTTTTATTGTAGTTAGGAGAGCCGTTTTGAAGTGAACTCTGTATGATTCGTACCCCCCCAACCACCACTCCGAAATCCACTGAGCAACACCTGAAAGTGCTACTCAGCATGCAATCTCATGTGTTTGGGAGATAGGGACATTCAGTAAAATGTTCCATATTTCTCTATTTAGATCATTAACCCATTTAGATGACATTTTAATGGGAGACACTTCACTGAATTCGTGTTCAGTCTCATTCTCGTGCAAACGGGAGTTGTTGATTTTCTTTCTGTCTTTCTTTTGCTTTCTTTTCGTTCTTTTTTTTTCTTCGTTTCTTTAAGGATTTTTATTCCAATGGTTGACTTTCATTCATCCTTTCTTTTATTTAAAATTGTCTTTTTCTTCTTTAATTTTTCTTCTCATTCGACATTTTTTGTTTTTATTTTTTTTATTCTTTCTTTATTGTTTTCTTTTCTTTTTTTTTTTTACATTTCTTTACATTTTTTATTCAAGTAGCTTTCTTTCTTTTATCTCCCATTCGTTTATTTATTCTTTCTTTCTTTCACCTTATTTTCGTTATTTTTTCTTCGTTTCTTTCAGGTTTTTCATTCAGATAGTCGGATACATTCTTTCATTTTAATATTCTTCCTTTAAATTCTTTAACTTTTTCATTCATCCCTGTATTCTTTCTTTCTTTGACACAATTATGCACATTTATTTTTTCAATGTTATCTTAATGTGTGTTTTTTTTCTAAACGGCTTTAGATGCACAGAAAAGAAAGACGCACAGAAAAGAAAGCCGTTCAGAAAAGAAAAACGCGTAGAAAAGAAAGCCGTTCAGAAAAGAAAGACGCACAGAAAGGAAAACCGTTCAGAAAAGAAAGACGCACAGAAAAGAAAGCCGTTCAGAAAAGAAAGCCGTTCAGAAAAGAAAGCCGTTCAGAAAAGAAAGACGCATAGAAAAGAATGCCGTTCAGAAAAAAAAAGACGCACAGAAAAGAAAGCCGTTCAGAAAAGAAAGCCGTTCAGAAAAGAAAGCCGCGTAGAAAGGAAAGCCGTTCAGAAAAGAAAGACGCACAGAAAAAAAAAAATTCAGAAAAAAGACGCATTCAAAGAAAATAAAAATCAGAAAAGAAAGCCGTTCAGAAAAGAAAGAAAGATTACAGAAAGGAAAACCGTTTTTTTTAAAAAGAAAGACGCACAGAAAAGAAAGACGCGTAGAAAAGAAAGCCGTTCAGAAAGAAAGAAAGACGCACAGAAAAGAAAATTCCGTTCAGAAAAGAAAAATGAAAGACGTTTTTAAAGAAAGCCGTTCAGAAAAGAAAACATGCACAGAAAAAAAGACGCACAGAAAGGAAAACCGTTCAGAAAAGAAAAACGCTTAGGAAATTTTTTGCCGTTCAAAAATAATATATATATATATATATATATATATATATAATATGTGTTACAAAATGCAAGGTTTGAGATAAATGGAATAAACTTCCAGTAACCAAAATCAAAATTTTTGCGAAAAGTGCTCAATACTGAGTAGAGCCAATAATATTTATTTAAAAATTATAATTGAAGTATGTTATTGTAATGACAAAATTGCGCAGACGTAGGCTTTAAGAAAGCTTTATTTAACTGAGATTACGAGGTTGGCGTATAGTGTCATTTTATAGTCTCAGTAAACAGAAATAGCTTTCTCAAAGAGAACAGCAAGAAAACAAGGAGAGACCACTTGATTATTTATAACAGTTATAACATCACTGCAACACCGTCACTTGAACTAGAAGTGTTGAAACAAAATAGCTCTTTTTGTAGTGATGTTATAATATACTTATGTTATAATTTTTAAATATATATATATATATATATATATATATATATATATATATATATATGTATATATATATATATATATATATATATATATATATATATATATATATATATATATTTATTAAAAACACGTATGTGGATTTTTCGTCCTTTCTTTTCCTCATTGTTTCATGTTTTTTTCATTCTTTTTTAATTCTTGCAAGATTTACTTATATTTTTTTTTTTTTAAAAATCCCTCCTTTTTTTTTTAAAATTTTTTTCTTGACATCATTTCTTTTGCTATTCCTTTTTTTTTTTCTTTCTCGGTCTCTTTCTTTACTCAATATCTCTTTTTTTACATTTTTTTTCCTTTTCATTTTCATCTCTGTTTTATTTATTTAATTTTTTTATTTCATTTCATTTTTTTAATATTTAGATTTTTTACATCATTTATTTCTCTGTTTATTACTTATTTATATTTATTGGTTTATTAATCAATTATTTTATTATTTATTTATTATTTATTTACATTTTTATTAATTAATTTATTTTATTATTTATTTACATTTATTAATTTACTTTATTATTTATTTATTATTTATATTTATTATTTATTAATTTATTTATTTTTTATTTTATAATTTATTTATTATTTATTTTATATATTTATCATATATTTACATTTATTAATTTATTTGTTATTTTTTTTTATTATTTATTTACATTTATTAATGTAATTATTATTTATTTTATTATATATTTATTATTTATTTACATTTATTATTTATTTTGTTATATATTTGTTATATATTTATATTTATTATTTTATTATTATTTATTTTATTATTTATTTATCATTTATTTAATTACTTACATTTTTTACGTCATTTTCTTTTCTATTTCTTCTTTTTTTTCTCGGTCTCTTTCTTTACTTAGTATCTCTTTTTTTCCTTTTCTTTTCCCCCTTCCTTTTCGTCTTTGTTTTATTTATTTACTTTTAACCAGCATGTCCATAAGTAAATCGTCCACACTTGGACGAGTTCGTGTTCAAACTTTTTCTCGTACGCACACGCATTCTTCACGTACACACACACACACACATTCTTCACGTACACACACACACACACATTATTCACGTACACGCACACATTTTTCTCGGATTTTTAAAGATGAGAGAGAAACGAAGGAGTCGTGTTCAAGTCGTTCTTTTCTTTCTCGAAACATTTTAACCGTGGAATTTTAGAACCAGTTGATTTCCAATCAGGTCCTGTAATTCAATACAGGAAAAAAAAAAAAAAATTACACACAAAAACGTAATGATGCATGATAAACATTTTATTATTGAGATGTTTATTATTATTATTATTATTATTATTATTATTATTAAGGTGTAGAAAAATATTTTTGCTTTTTATAAAATTTTGAATCTAAAGATAATTTCACCTCTGCATCTGAAGAAATTTTTTTTTAACTCTATTACAAATTAAAACCCGGATATAAGAGAGTTGTCGGGGCCGGAGAAACTTAAGTCTTATATCCGGGTTTCTTTTATATTTGGGTTTGGTCTATTTTATATACATTAACACAGGCTCTAATTTGGGACCAGAGAAAATCTCTCTTATATCCGGGTTTCTCTTATATCCGGGTCTCTTATATCCAAAAGTTACATTGTATTATTATTATTAGTAGTAGTAATAGTAGTAGTAGTATTAATAGTAGTAGTATTAGTAGTATTAATAGTATTAAGGTTTATTAAAAAATCTATCTTCGTTTGTATAGAATTTGAATCCAAACTTATGCATCAGAAGAATATTTTTACCTTTATTATTATTATTTTTTAATTTTCTTTGATTTCTGGCGTTTACACATTTCTTTCCGGGTCCCGCTTAGAGACCTAAGGTTAGAAATGGCATCATGACACTTTCCACTGACAAAAAAAAAAAATATATATATATATAAAAGCCCTTCGTAAAGTGTGGGCTGTACTTGTCAGAACAATTTTTTGTATCTCCTTGAGGCATGGACTTCCAGGAATCCCTTCAATTAGTCTACTGTAATCTTTTCCAACCAGTCCTAGGGCTCCAACTTTTCAACAGGGATTGTTGATGGACCCATATGCCACTGTTTTTGATTTCTATTTCAAGGTCCTTGTATTTTGACAGTTTTTTTGAATATCTTCAAAGATACATTGCAGTCAGCAGGGACTGCCATATCAATAAGGATCACCGTTTTTGTTTGTGGTCTTTAATAACAATTTCTTTCAGTTTCCTTCCCGGCTTTGAGATTTTTCCAGTGCAGATATTGGCCCACTCTGTCATGCCGGGTTTTATATTCAGTGGGTGCCAACACTGTACAACCTGATACAAGATCAATCGTTTCTGGATATTTATCACAGAATCTGCATTTTGGGCTGATTATTATTATTATTATTTCCTTTGATTTCTGACGTTTACTCATTTCTTTCAGAGTTCTGTCCGGAGACCAAAGGTCAGAAATGGCGTCTTGACATTTTCCACTGGGGAACGGGAAAAAAAAAATTAAAAGAAAAAAAAAAAGATATTTTACATAGATAAAGCCATTCGTAAGGCATGGGCTGTACTGGTGAGAACAATTTTCTGTATTTCTTTAGGCCCCGGACTACCAGTGATTCCTTTAATGAGTCTATCGGAAATTTTTCCAATCAATTCTAGGGCTTCAGCTACAACTGGAATTATTGATGTCGTCATGCGTCCCCAGCAGTTTACAACTCCACGGCGCCGTTTCCCTTTTGGGAATCTATTTTCCCCAGATGAAGAATGAAATTCTAGCTTGCAGTTGAGAAAACCCGACTCACTGTTTCCCATTCGTGAAATATGTCCTCACCTGCCACATAGATTAATCCGGCACGTTTGAATCTGGAGTCCTAAACATGGCTTCTCCAGACACAGTATCTCCATATTATATGTAAGACTCTTCCCTTTTGAACTCCTTACACTTCGCTTTGTCGTGTAGATACATGTGATGCATTATTAACTGCAAGTGACATTAATACATATGTATATATAGTTTTGTATATTTTTTAGTGATATAAAAATTCTATCTGAGAACAATGTTGTCATTCCTTTTCCCTTCAGCCATTTCGTACCGTCACTGATGTAAGGTGTTATTATATCACGGATATAATAACGCCCGTAATGGGGTGAGATACAAAAAGGGGGAATAAATCTTTCTTCTCTAGCTCTCTCCCGTTATATACTTTCGCAGATAGAGAGAAACCCTGCAAAAGTCTTAGACCATTTTAAACTATAGTAATTTTTTAATAATTGCTATCTTATAAATGTTTTTTTATTGTACTCTCTAAAGATGAAACTGGTCATATTAGCGTCATTTTTAGACCGAATTATCTGAATTTTTTAGGAGGGATTCTGAATAAAGAGAGAAAATTCTAAACGGCACTTCCAAATGGTCGTGAGGAATACTTCGGTAATCTAACCCATTTCCATCGCTAAAAAGCAAATATTTTTTTTTTTGGAATACGACAGTTATTTTTCTACATGTAAGGTAAACTGTCACATCGAATTTCAGCATTCTTTCATTACCTGAAATCACGGCGAACATTTCCCAAGAAAACAGGCAATCGCTAAAGAACTTGGAATGTCAAGAAGCGGTATGGAGGAAATCCTCTCGAAGTCTCAAAGCAATGGAAGTACTCTGAATTGAGCAAACCATGGCCGTCTTCAAAAACTGCAGTATAGGAAAACATGGAGATTGATTAAGATAACAAAAGGCTTAGTGAAAGGAAACTGATAGACAAGTAATTGTTCAGTTTGGTGTCAGTAGATAACACTACGTTAGTCCTTCAAGAACATAGACTGAAAAGTTTCATTTCAACGAAGAAAACAGCTTTAAACGAAAATCATTTCAAGGCAACATGGCAACTGGTATGGACAGTAAGATGCAAATGCTTGGGATATGATCACATTCAATGATGAAACGAAGGTAGAGCTGCGTTGTAATAAGTATAAGTTATTTAGCAAGGGTTCTGAAGGGGCGTTGAAAATGCGAAACGACGCCCGTGTAAAAGATGTCGACCAACTCACAGAATTGCACAGGCCGGTAGACGTAAATTTACACTGTTTTGAAAAAAACATTTATGACTACTCGAAAATATATATCTGCAAAATGCAAGGCTTAAAGTTTATATATATATATATATATATATATATATATATATATATTACGTCTAGCATGAAATAGCCTGTCGCCTCTGAGAGTTGACTTCGATGTTCACTTTTATATTTATATTTACATACGCTCTATCTCTGATATTGAGCACTTTATCCCATAAATATAGGATGAAACTATATATATATATATATATATATATATATATATATATATATATATATATATATGAGAAACATCAAGAAATCTAAATAAAAGATACTTTTTTTAAAGATTTTAAAGGCAGTTATCATAAATTTTTAAAAAGCACAGGTAGTAATCTTAAATCTTTCTAAAAAGGAAGAAAAAAGGATAAAAAAGTTTATTTTTGTTTAAAATGCAATGACAGATTAACAGTGTTGCAATATCGCTCTACGTATCGCCAGTTTTTGTTTCATCGGCGTTTTTCTTAGGATAGTGGTAGCTGTAATTTTCCTCGTCCACCATTATTTTTCAACCAGAGTACCAGGAACTTAGCCATGGGTTCCAAATAAAAATATAATCTATAAAATTCAGAATCTATTAGATGTTTATGGTAAGCACTACTGGAGTGAACTGAAACTGCTAGCTCAATTTTCTCTTACTTTAAAGAAAGTAAAGTTTTCTCTCTTTTTTATTTATGGTAACTACATTTCTGCTTGTTTAGAGTAATTTAAGGTATTGGTGTGCAAATTAAACAACTTATTTTTTTTTCAAAATTTATGTTAACTACCTTCTTGCTTGTTTAGAATAATAAAAAGTTGGTTTGCAATTACCAACTATGAAGAAAAATGTTATGTTTTGCATATCTCTCTGCGTAGTCGTAGTACAGCTCTCTGTATCCTGAATAGCAACCGGGTTAGCCCAATGTTCGGCAGTTGTTCTCTATTTATACTTGTCTATCTAATTTGGATACGATACTACAAAAAGAAAATATAGTAACGTCAAAAACTTATCAGAGGTAGGCAATTATCCAGGGACGCATTTGTCTGGGGACGCAAATGTCCAGGGACGCAAATGTCTGGTATGCAATTGTCCGGGAAGAAAATGTCCAAGACACAAAAGTCTGTCCAACCTTTGTAGCTGGAGTTATCCATTATAGCTTTCTAAAATATAACTTGATAATTTTTTAAGCCAAAAGGCAAAGAAGACGTAAAATCTGCACTCAAAGATTTAATGGCTTCCAAATCTTTAAAATTGTATCGTAAAGGCATAAATAAGCTTGTAACTCGATGGCAGAAATGCATAGATTTTCAGGTTTTCAGGCCTAAGCATCTATCACGCATGACACATAACCAACTAATTATTATAATTAGGCTTCTTCATTTTTTTATCGGCCTTTTGGCTAAGACCGAAGTATAATGAACTATTCCGTTATGAATACGTGGAAAGAATGGAACGGACACTGCTTGGTTTCAGGAATTCGAACTCGGCTCTTCGACTTCTCAACCCGAGTGCATATCGCTTATGCATTAGTTTTTCTTAGCAGGTGATTTTAAATTGTTTAAAATGTGTCTATTCGTAATCTTTTTAATAACATGTCTGGTCAGCATATCTGCCTTTATATATGTGGTAACGCCCTAAAGAGCAGCAACCCCACGGCCTTCTATGATTGGTTAAAAATGATATTACTTTCTCAGCCAATGACATACTACAATATTGTAAATCTCCCAATGATATACTGCTCAATCTTATCATGACGACCTTTGTATTCCTTCGGTGCCATGACTGGACAACTAGACACTAAGTAGTCACTAGTCTCTTTTAACTTAAACTACATATTGAGTCCACACCATTTTCTATTGATTGCCTGGTCATTCATGTTAAATAGGATCTATATTTATAGGTTAAATAGCCATTATAGCTACCTCCGTCTTTGACTTTATCCCAGCACTCTTCGGAGGTTTGTGTCTGTCTATATCAGTATTGTTACTTCTGGCTGCCTATTTGCCATCTAGTAGATTTTATCGCAGGTATTTTAAAAATCGTTTAAACCTTGGGGTTTAGAGATTTTTTACAATGTTGATCACCCTGTGCAAGACTCAAGTGCCACTCCAGATGGAGAGTTACAAAATAAGAGGTTCACTCAAGCAAATTGATAATGCCAGCAAAACGCAAAGAGTCACCGGAAGTGAAAACAAAGGAAAATACTTTAAAAGGGAACCTGAAACTAAATCCTAAACAGGAAACAAGTGATAAACCTGTACTCTTGTTCAAGAGAACGAGGAGGAGAATGAACCGGACGATAGTCAAACCTATCTACTCCTACTGAGGAAAAATGTAAATAAATCTTTAGCTGCATTTATTAATTATGTATTTTAATCTCTTTTCCTCATAATGACGTGTAGTTTTTTTCAGCATTTATTGTTTTTGTTATAAATTGGGTGAAATTTTTACTTTTTTCATGTCAGTTAACAAGTTGAAGCTCAAAGATTAAAAAGTTAAAAAATATTGAGAATGAACGAAAAACACGTATATTTGCTCGATACATGTTTTTCCGTTTGAGCGTTGGCAATGAATGACATCAATTCATATATATATATATATATATATATATATATATATATATATATATATATATATATATATATATAATATATTTATTTAAAAAAATGATTCCAAATCGCGACATAAGAAGTCCCATATTTCAAAACAAAAAAAAATAGCAATATAATTATTTAAATTATTTAAATTAAATTGAATTAAATTGAATCTGTTCCATCTTCAAGCAAATAATTTTTTGGAGTTTTTAAATAATTTGTTTTGTTCAATTTTATTACATCCCGAAAACATGGAATCATATTTTTAAATCATATTTTTTAATTATATTTATGCTCTACTTTTGTATCGAGCAATATTTTTAAAAAATAATAACTAAAATACTAAGGGACTTTGGATTATTTACCTAACCAGTTCCTTCCTATTTTCTATATATTTTTCACAGACACACACACATATATATATATATATATATATATATATATATATATATATATATATATATATATATATATATGTGTGTGTGTGTGTGTGTGTGTGTGTGTGTGTGTATTTAGGCAGGAATCCTTCTTTCATGCACTTTTCATTGAATAAGACAGACAAGGTGCTTTGATTTAGTATTTTTTATACAATTTCTCATGTGATCTTTTCGGTAGATAAAATATATAAAAACTGCTTAATTATTCTTTCTTTCCGAGAGCTTTCAACTACACATTTAGCCATTTTCAAGGTTGAAATATATTAACTGTTAACAAGAAATGAATTGTTATATGTATGTATTTATATAATAAATATACAATAATATCAACTATGAACATGGACACAATATCTTGACCGAGTCCCGACAACCCAATTTTACTCACATAGCTAGGGTCAACCCGCTGGGATCAACCTCGATCGAATCCGATAACAACAGGAAGTCTCCTTCCTGACAAATTGACTATGGTGAGATTCGAACCCAGTTCTCATGGTCATACAAACCAAATATATATATATATATATATATATATATATATATATATATATATATATATATATATATATATATATATATATATATATATATATATATTTGGTTGGATAGATGTGAGTTTGTGACCCTGGGTTTCACGCTTTAGCGACATCAGACAAACTGATTAATTTTTTTTTTTAAATTTGGGTTTATATATGATCACAAACTCACATCTATCCAACCAAATATATTAGCTCTATCTCTGATATTGAGCGCTTTCTAATAAATACCGCGCATATAATATATAATTATATATATATATATTTATTTATATTTATATACACTTTTCACACACACACACACAAACACACACACACACACACATATATATATATATATATATATATATATATATATATATATATATATATATATATATATACAATTTAGAAAAACAAATCGGTACCCGAGGGTAAATGGGGATAAAAAAAAGAAAGAACCAAGAATATTAACACACGGCTTAAACAATCGTTTAGTGTTTAATTTCAGAGTCCAAAGGAAAATAAATAAATAATATAAAACAAGTAAAAATACAACTACGTAAAGTGCTCAGTACACTAAGAAGAGCAAACCTAACATAAGATAATCGTAAGGAGCCAGGCAAACCTATCTAGATTTCACCTAAACGGATCTTCAGGGTACTGCCTGCTGAAAAGGAAAATTATGGAACAGTATTCATTGCTAAAATCCAAAATAACTATGACCATATGTAAAAAAAAAAAAAAAAAAAAATTAATAAAAAAGACAAATAACGGGGGTGGGGGGGGTATGTACTTTATTGAACAACCAGCAAAAAAAAAAAATGAATAAACATATAAGCATATTTTTCTGCCAAGATTTCTCGAATATTCAGGTGGGTATATATAGTTGGATGAAAAATATTGTTTAATTAATTTTCTGTAACCCCTTGCGTCCTAGTGGCTTCCCCCCATGCTATATATATATATCTATATATATCTATCTATCTATCTATCTATATATATATATATATATATATATATATATATATATATATATATATATATATATATATAATATGAAAAACGAAAAAATGAAAAACGAAAAGGTTATTTTCCCGTTTTTCATTGTTACTTTTTATATCATGATTGGTAATAATAAAAATAATTTTCATCTGTTTTATATAGTGATATATATATATATATATATATATATATATATATATATATATATATATATATATATATATATATATCTATTTTCTGAATACACAATATATATATATATTGTATTTTAATAGAAAATAATTTCTGCCTAAAGACAATATATATTATGTATTTAGCAGCAATCCTTCCTTTATAAATGTTTCATTAAAAACGACAGACAAATCTATATTACGATTAAGCTCTTTATTTAATTTTTCTTGTGTTCGAACAAAAGTTTTTTTTTTTGAAGAGTATGTATAATCACTCTAAAAAAGAAAATACTTGTTCGAAAACAAAAAAAATTAATAAAACGCTTAACCGTAGTACCTAGTCTGTCGTTTTAATTTTTTTATATTTATATATATATATATATATATATATATATATATATATATATATATATATATATATATATATATATATATATGTGTGTGTGTGTGTGTGTGTGTGTGTGTGTGTGAATAAATAAACCTTTGGTAAAAGTTAATTCCGGCAATTTCTTCATTTTTCAGTTCGTCTACATCGTCGTCATTGTGACGATGGCACAATCACCTGCTGCTTATTTTGACCGGCTTAGAGAAATCGCCATTGAGTGATCTGACGTTGTTAGTCTGACTCGAAGCAATTAAACTGGGATTTTCATTTTACGGCTTCTCGGTCTGCGACACACGTGACACTGGATAGATTCTTTGAGATTCTCTCGCTCTCTCTCTCTCTCTTTCTCTCTTTATATTTTTTTTTTCCTACCGCTATTTTGCACTCTCCAACATTTGCCATTCTCCCTTTCTACGTCTAGAATTTCCCATTTCCGAGGCCTTATCAGAAAATCAAGCCATGATCTTTGTTTCTTTCTTTATTATTTTAGCACGATTTTCTTTTTCTTTCTTTCTTTCTTTTTCTATATGATCTTCATTCTTTTACAAAATAAATTATCGCTTTTCTTTTTTTTTTCTATTTCTTTTTCCTGTTCTCTTTTCTTTTTATTCATTTTTCTCTCTTTCTTTCTTCCCTTTCAATTTTTCGTTTTCAGCTTTCTTTTACAAAAAGTTTTTCATCTTTCTTTCTATTTCGTTCTCCTTTGTTCAATTTTCTTTTTCTTCGACTCATATTTTTTAATTGCCATTCTTTCTTTCTTTCTCTCATTGTTTCTTTCATTTTTCTTTCTTGAACTCATGCTTTTTCATTTTCATTCGTTCTTTCTTTATCTTTTTCTTTCTTTCTTCGTTTCTTATACACACATTTTTCCTCTCCATTCTTTTTTCTTTCTTTCTTTCTTTCTTTCTTTCCTACATTTTACATTCCGATTCCGTCTTTCTTTCTTTCTTTCTTTCTTTCTTTCTTTCATCTACTCATGCTTTTTTATTCCTATTCTTTCTTTCTTTCTTTCTTTCTTTCTTTCTTTCATCTACTCATGCTTTTTTATTCCCATTCTTTCTTTCTTTCTTTCTTTCTTTCTTTCTTTCTTTCTTTCTTTCTTTCATTTTACATTCCGATTCCGTCTTTCTTTCTTCTACACATGTTTTTCATTTCCCTTCTTTGTTTGTTTGTTTGTTTGTTTGTTTGTTTGTTTGTTTGTTTGTTTGTTTCTTTCTTTCTTTCTTTCGTCTACTCATGTTTTTTTATTCCTATTCTGTCTCTCTTTCTTTGTTTTTTCATTCTTTTTTCTATTTATACTTTTTCATTCCTATTCTTTCTTTCTCTATTTCTTTCTTTCTCTCCTCCTTTTCCTCGTGTTTTTTCATTCCCAGTTTTTTCTTTCTTTCTTTCTTTCTTTCTTTCTTTCTTTCTTTCTTTCTTTGTACAGACATTCATCTAAGAGTTTGCTATCAAATGAGTTACCATTACAAGTGTCAAAGTGATTAGAACGTTAACGTTTCTACCATGAGACTCGTGTTCAATCTCGGAAGTTTTAATTTCCCAAAGACGGGATTCTTTTATAATATCAACCAGGGGATATAATCCCAGCACGCAGCTCTATTTGATATTGAGAAGCACAACCCAGGTTGACCTCATATCTTGCCAGTGAAATTGGGCAGCCGAAACATTTTGGAAGCCGTCGGTGTTTCTTGCCAAGAAAACGAGAAATTCCAAGTTCGACGATTCGCGCGTGCTAGTCTTTTTCTATGAGCGATCACGCCACTAAGCGCTCTCTCCCAGAAATTGTAACTAACATCTGCTCAGCATCTTCTTTTTGACGTGTCTCTTCGAATTGATGGAGATTATGACTCTGCACAATTTCCTGTCATTTGTAGCTCTTATTATTGTTCTCTCCTCTAAACCTTGCCACAACATCCATTTATTCCAGCTCGCTAGGTATCTTATGCATTATATTACCCTGTCCCACTTGCCTTGAATATGTCTTGGGTGTATCAGATTTTCCAAGCCCTCTTTCTTTCTTTCTTTCTTTCTTTCTTTCTTTCTTTCTTTCTTCCATCCTTCCTTCCTTTTCTACGTGATCTTCCTTCTTTTACAAAAAATAATATCGCTTTTCTTTTTTTCGGTTTGTTTTTCCAGTTCATTTTTCTCTTTCTTTCTTTTTTCTTTTTTCTTTCTTTCTTTCATCTACTCATGGTATTTTTATTATTAATCTTTTTCGTTCTTTCTTTTTCTTTCTTTCTTTTATCTTTCTTTTTTTTTCTTTCATTTTTTCTTTCTTTCTTTCTTTAATCTACTCATGCTTTTTCATTCCCATTCTTTCTGTCTTTCTCTTTCTTTCTTTTTCAATCATTCTTCTACACATGCCTTTTCATTCCCATTCTTTCTTTCTTTCTTTCTTTCTTTCTTTCTTTCTTTCTTTCTTTCTACACATGTTTTTTCATTTCCATTCTTTCTTTCTTTCGTCTACTCATGTTTTTATTCATATTTTGTTTCTCTTTCTTTGTTTTTTCATTCTTTCTTCTATTCATATTGTAACTAACATCTGCTCAGCTTCTTTTTTCCGTGTCTCTTCGAATCGGTGGAGATTATGGCTCTCCACAATTTCCTGTCTTTTGTAGCTCTTACATATTTCCTCTTTTTGTTCTCTCCTCTAAACCTTGCCCCGACATCCATTTATTCCAGCTCGCTAGGTAAGTTATACATTATTTTTCCCTGTTCCACTTGCCTTCAATATGTCCTGGGAGAATCAGATTTTCTAAGCCCTCTTTCCTCATCATGGGCCCTAGAAAATTCAACTGTCACTTACTGATGTTAAGTACAAGTCACCTTTTTCCATTATCTCTAGAACTTAGTGTCCTTTTTTCCCCATTATGACTAGAACGGTCCATTGTATTCTCTGTAGAACAATATTTCTGTTACTTCAAGTCTTTTCTTAATCTTTAAAGAGATTGCCCAGCATTCTCTGCTGAATATGTGAATTAATATTACATTACAGTTCAGTATCCTTTTCTTTGTTTTCAACATTCAGACTCTGCTACAACTTCGTAAATTTCTATACATTAATTTTGCCAGTCTTTTTATTTTTTTTAGTGGAATATTTTTCCAATTATTACTTTCGACAATATCAGTTCTTCTTAAAAGCAAGAGGATTCACTATGCATGTTATAACGACAGAAATGCACTGAAAGTCAGGAAGAAAAAAATGTATTGTCATTGGTCAGGAATTAATGAAAGCATTATTTACAGAATAGTTTTATTATATGTAAATGCAACAGAGATGTGCTTCTATAGAAGGATGCTGTGAATACCATGGACGGAACATGTGAGTAACGAGGAAGTTTTAAGGAAAATGAAAACAAAAAGAACATTTACATTTAGAACTAGAAAGAGTCAGTTGAAATATCTGGATCACATAATGAGGAAAGAAGGCCCAGAGAATATAACACACACAGGGCATATTGAAGGCAAGCAGGGCAACGGAAAGTAGCGAAGAACCTCCCCTAACGAGAGTGACTGGGAGAAATGATAAAAAGAAAAAAAAGGATAGATAAAGTTGTAAAGAGCCATGAGAGTTGGAGAGCCGAGTTCGAATTCCAATCGAATCCATTACATTCACTTACGTGCTAATACCCTTGGAAAAGGTATGAATCCTCTTTATGCCCAGCTATGGGTAAATAGCAGGGGAAAGATCGGGTTCTATAGCCTTAGCTGGTGACAGGTCTAGCGCAGAAAGAAATGGCAACCTACTGCAGGAATAATCTGCCTTGTCATTCATGCATCGAAAGATACATGATCGCCTACGCGTGTATTGCACATAATTGACTGGTTGAATTTTGAAAATTGGACAGAAAATGGTTTTCAGGAATTAGAACACACGTTGACTGAATGGATCAATTTTATATCTCAGAAAAAACAAACAAACAAAAAACCGATTAGAACGAGCCTATTTCAGCTCTGAGTGTGCTGCAGCCACCCGTAACTGTAAACTTAGCTAGGGTGTGTTTGCTCATTGGCCCTATATTTTGTTTCGTTTACTTCCCCATCCCCTCCTTCGTTAGGTGGTCAGTTATGTCAGTTCTCTGGTGGATGCGGGGCGCTTTTCGTTTTTCGCCTGTGTGTTTTTCGTTTTTGTTGTCATGTCTGAATGAGTACGTGTCTGTGTGAGTGCTAGGAATAAATGAAGGTTTTTTTATATTTTTTATAGTCGCGCATTGATTTCGTCCAGTTAACTGATGTTTCTGCCACATTTAAGGATTGTGGGGGTTTTATTACTAACATGATTTTGTTTAGTTTCTTGTAAATAGATTATATTCATATTGTACATAATCATTGGGGATTTTTTTAACTAGTTGTTTTATCCCCACCCCCACAGACAACGATTTGTACATATCGGGACTATTTAGGATTTTCATTGAGACAATGAGGTATTATGGTGGATGTAGTAAGAAACGTTAGTAAGAGTGTGTTGTTTGGGTGTAAGGAATATTGTTTGTCTGTTTGGTTCAGTGTTTGCAGCTAGCTAAGTTTAAAGTTAAGACAGATGAAGACAGTCCATTTCCCCATCCCCCTTTTTAGGCCTTGTACCACATTTTTTAATAGAAATAAATATCGTAATCACTATTAAAATATCTATCAACATTTCTACACTCCAACATCTCTCTCTCTCTCTCTCTCTCTCATAGGCTAGTCGCTCTCTGCTCCATCGCTACTACCATAGAAAGTGTTCAGACAAACATCATTTCCTGGTCCCGCCAATTCAAACCTTCAAAGACACGCTATGCCACTTAAATAGTTGCAAACCATCTTCATTTCTTTGTATTTCATCGTCGAGAAGTAAGTTCCTCTGACACAGATTCTTTCTGCGAACCACTGCTCTGTGGAACAGACTCCCAAGAGGATGTTTTCCCGATCACTGCAATCTTAACCTGTTCAAGTCTAGATGCAACCGTTATCTTCCTCTCCTATTTGTATAAACTACCCCTTAAAGTAATCCTCTACTTCGAGTGGCATCCGGTCCTTGTACAGATTAAAACTTACTGTAAAAAAAAAACAAAAAAAAAAAAAACGAAAAGTTTTAAAGAGCCATGATAGAAGAAGAAGAAGAAGAAGAAGGGGGAGGGAGGAGGAGGAGGAGGAGGAGAAAAAGGAGAAAAGAAGGAGGAGGATGAGGAGGAGAAGAAGAAGAAGGAGTAGGAGGAGGAGGATTGAGGAATCGGAGAGCCGAGTTCGAATTCCAATCAAATCCATTACATTCACTTACGTGTTAATACCCTTGGAGACTCTTCTTTGCAAATGTGAAGAGAATCTCAAGATATGTAGCAGGAGAACAAGATCAGATATTTCAGCAATATTCAGCGCAGTAACGAGTGTTAAATTCAGAAATGTCCAAGATGGATTCCAACGAGCCAAATTCTCAGCACCACACCAAACAATATTCAATACAGGGACGAACAGTAGATTCATAGATATGTAAAAAAAAAACAAAAAAAAAAAAAACACAGACATACATAGGACGTGTAAATGAAGCTTATTCGTTATTTTTTTTTTTTTTTGGCAACTTGCAAGGTTTTATTATTATACTAGATAGAAGAAGTCGGTAAAAGTGAGAAAATATATTTTGTTTGCATTTTTTCCCCTTCCTTTGCCTTGTTTTATTGAAACGCAAAGTCGCCATTCTCAACTGTTAGGGAGGGGACGATGATATGTTTGATTTGACTCCATTACGACCAAAACTCGGTGGTCTTTGAAAATGGAAACGCTTCCTGTTAAAGTCATCTGCAGCATTTCACTAAATGACTATTTGATTCGAGTATAGCAAGAATTGAACACGAGGCCCCATGTGTAAGTAGAAAGAATCGCTTTTTCCGTAATGTTGTGTTGGCTTTTGTTTTTGTATTTTTGTATTTATTAATTAATATATTTTCTAACTTAATTTTTAACTTTGAGATTAATTTTCAGACTAGTTAGGTTAGTGGTAGATTAAAAAGAATCGTCACAAACATACATAGGACGTGTAAATAAAGCTAATTCGTTTTTTTTTTTGTTGGAAGCTAGTGAGGCTTTATTATTATGCTAGATAGAAGACGACGGGAAAAGTGAGGAAATATCTTGTTGATAGCTACAAGGGATAGAAGGAGGTGGAGAGCCGTGATCGCTAACGTCCCGAAAGGACAGGGCACATAAAAAGAAAGAAGGTAGATTCTAGTAAGAAACATTCTCTGGCATCACACAATGAACCAACAGTGCTATTTGTTATTTGATAATGTTAAAACTAAATATATAGCGGCTTTGAGACTAAGCAATCATAAATTATATTTAGAGTATTTAGAAAAAAAACAAAAAAACAATGATAGTAAGAAAAAACAGAAACACCGGAAACGCAACATCATATGGTTTGATCCACATTTTAACTGTAATGGCTAAACTAATGTCGGAAAAATTTTCCTGAAACTTATCCATAAGCATTTTAACCATTCACCAACGCTAAAAAAGATTTTTGACAAAAATAATAGTTATAGCTGCGTTAGAAAGGAGGAGACAAGCCTTGGAACACGTGACCTTTCAACCATAATATCACTTATGAGATACCATACTAAAAAAAATATAACATTTTGACACACAAAAAATATTTTTAATTATAGTAAAAAGTTTTGGTAGCATTATTTGTATTAAGCTTTTAATTTTCGCATATATAGATCTCATTATTAAATCATGTTAAATAAACACCTTCCGAAAAAACAAAAAAAAACAAAAAAAAAACATAAATTTTTCTAAAAATAAATGCAACTGCCGGAAGAATACGATCTGTCCATTAACCGGTCAATGTATGACCGATAATATTGTATATCGAGCGAGCATATGTTCCGGTAGCGATGTTAGATTTTATTTTGTTTCTACCGAAAATCATTGGAAGTTTCGCTTCTACCATCAACAAATGACTTTGATTAATATTAAATATAGAAACATCACTACTCTCTCTAATTGTTTCTGGCAATTGATAGATGACGGCAATTCCCCTTCAATTATCTGGATATTATAGCAAGGGTAAAATCGTTTAACGGAAAAGGAAATAAATGTAACCTATGCCTGGTTGAAAAAATGATTATCTTAAAACACTTAAATAACCCGGGATTATTCAACAAGAGAAATGAACTGATGGTTACATATAGACATAAAAATCAATATCTACTTAAACACGTAGATCCAGATTCAAGTTTAGATTTTAGTTTTTGTAACGGTTTCTAGATACAAAGTGTGTAAAAACTGTCCAAAAGTTCTGCATACTCAAACGCTTTCGGCTATTTTTTAGCCATTATCAAGGGCGATTTTTCTTTCCCCCCCCCCACTTTTTTTTTTAACTAAATACGCTGTTTTTTTCTATGTATGTCTTTAAAATTATAGGAATGTTTTATTTTCGGAAGACAGTCAGCACAATGGTTTTCCTAACTACTTCATCGACCATCAGATTAGATTATTTCTTTCTAAAGTAACTAATAACGATACTGAATATACAGATAAAAAACGATAAAATTAACATCTACAAAAGAAAAATACACGCCAACTATAAGCAAAACGAATCCTCTTACAAATATCATAAAGAAACATACAGCCCCAGTCAACTCGAACAAGAAAATTAAATTATCTATTACAAAAAATTTGAAACAGCAAATCTTATAAAAATAACAGCACAGTGCAAAATCAAAACTACATAGAACTAACATTATTTACGAATTCAAATGTCATTTAAGGAATGTGTTTCTGATCAAATCAAACTCCGAGATAATTACATTGGTCACACTACTACATGCCTATCTAGACGACTTACGTTACAGCTACCCGACCATAGCACCATAATTGCAGCAGTTCTGCTTCTTACCGACATTTCTAGAGCATGGACTCTTTGGCATTTTTTAAAACATCGCTTCCGTTATTTTGATTTGCCGCCATTTTTCTTAAATTACAAAACAATTCTTTTTTTCCCCCTTTTCATCAATCCTTTTTTTTTTGAGCCATCGAATTTTCCTTTTTTTAATTTCATTTGACTTTCCGTTTTTCTTTTTTGTTTCTTTTTTCATTCTTGGCATTCTTTCTTATGCTTTTCTTTTGATATTATCTGTTTATCTTCCTATTTCTTTCTTTCTTGCTTTCGTATTATTTCGATTTTTCTTTCTTATTTGTAATCTTTTTTTCTTTATTTCTTTCTTACATTTTCTTTTTTCTTTCGTTTTCATTTTTTCTTACATTTGTTATCTTCATTCATTTATTTCCTACATTTATAATAGTTCTTTCTTTCTTCCTTCCTTTCTTTTGTACACTTTCTTTCTTTCTTTCTTTCTTTCTTCCTTTCTTTTGTACACTTTCTTTCTTTCTTTCTTTCTTTCTTTCTTTCTTTCTTTCTTTCTTTCTTTCCTTTAACCTTTCTTATTTAACGTTCTTTTGTCTGTATCCCTTTTCTTCCCTTTTAATAATTGTTTCTATTTCTTTCTTTCTTTCTTTCTTTCTTTCTTTCTTTCTTTCTTTCTTTCTTTCTTTCTGTTTTCCTTCCTTCCTACTTAGCTACATTTGCAATCTTTCTTTCTTTCTTTTTTTCGTACTATCTAATTCGTTGTTTGTACTTTTTCTTTTTTTTTTTTCTTTTTTTCTTTCTTTTGCTCTTTCGTTTTTTCTTTCTTTCTTTCTTTCTTTCTTTCTTTCGTCTGAAACTTATCAACTTATTGCCCTTCACTTCTTTCTTTCTTTCTTTCTTTCTTTCTTTCTTTCTTTCTTTCTTTCATACATTTGCAATCTTTCTTTCTTTCTTTCCTTCTTTCTTTCTTTCTTTCTTACATTTGCAATCTTTCTTTCGTTCTTTCTTTCCTACAATTGCATCTTTCTTTCTTTCTTTCTTTCTTTCTTTCTTTCTTTCTTTCTTTCTTTCGTACATTTGCAATCTTTCTTTCTTTCTTTCTTTCGTACATTTGCAATCTTTCTTTCTTTCTTTCTTTCTTTCTTTCTTTTCTTTCTTTCGTACATTTTCAATCTTTCTTTCTTTCTTTTTAATTCCTCCATTTCTCGCATACTGATTACATTTCCGATTTTTTTCTTTATTTTCCTGATAACTCAGATTTGGACAAGCTGCTTGAACGTTAGCGGTCAGCATTGGGTTAAGGTCAATGGGCTGCTATCTTCCGTTCTGGGATAGATACTTATCATAAAACTACATGGTTAATCACTTCGGCAGATGGAATGGTTGAAGCGCGTGGCGGTGATAGTTGTCCTTGGTGGTTGGGATGGTAAGAAAAACTGGCAGAATTCCTGTCTAGAAATACAACCCTTTATATCTGGGAGTCATCGTCAACGTCACCCATTTCATTGTTTTTACTCATAGAAATACATCTATAGCTGCTGCCACTGCTACTATTATTCAGATTATTAACACCGTCATGGCCACTGTCAATCTGATCAATACCATAGTCGAGACACAGGAAGCTTATCTTACAAGCTATAGACAATGAGTCAGTCAGTTATGTGCCATGTGTGGTACACGCTTAGGAGATCATATATCTTTCGATACATGACTGAAGAGGCAGATTTTACCACGCAGTATGTTGTCATTTCTTCGACTGGAATTCAAACTCGGCTCTCCGATTCCTCAATCCAAGCCGCTATCCTTTACTTCACCGTCAGTCAGTTATGTGCCATGCGTGATACACGCTTAGGCGATTATGTATCTTTCTATACATGACTGATGAGGCAGATTGTTCCCGCAGTATGTTGCCATTTTTTCTGCGGTAGACCAGTTGCCATCCAAGGCTATAGAACCCAATCTGTTCAGCTATGTATCCATAGCTGGGGAAGAAGAAGATTCATACATTTTCCAAGGGTAGGATGATTATTATTATTGCAAATTTTTTTTAAAGTTGTTAAGCTCTAATATTAACGATGCAATAGAAGAAGTTCTACGAATATTTTACTGTTCTATTTTCAAATAGAAAAACCATGAAATGTTCACGGGTTAAAACTAGTAATAATAATTAATATCTTATTGTAATTGTTAGTTCGCACGACCGTTACGCCCTACCAATATCTCATAAAAAAGAACCGTTCTGTTTTGAATACGTGGAAAGAAAGGGAAAGGACACTGCTTGGTTTCAGTGAGAAAATGAAAGAAGGGAAGATAGAAGAGGAAAGACAGAGAATCAGGATTAAGCTGATGAGAACAGATACTATACTTTGATCTTAGCCAAAAGACCGTGAAAGTAGGAACAATCATAATTATAATAATCAGTCATGTGCCATGCGTGATACACGATTTAGTGATCATGTATCTTTCGATACATGACTGACGAGGCAGATTTTTTTACGCAGAGGTTGCCATTTTTTGTCTGTCCTGCTATTTACTAAAAGATGGGAGGGGGAGAAGAAGAGGATTTATACCTTTCCCAAGGGTATTAGCACGTAAGTGAATGGATTCGACTGGAATTCGAACTCGGCTCTCCGATTCCTCAATCCGAGCCGCTATCCATTATTCCACCGTGAGGACGTTGCCTAATAATAATTCGTGTATTTGGGCTTATTAAATTAAATATCCAGGAAATGTTTTATGAGAGGATGGAAAGTATGACACTTAAATCCGAAGAGATATTGGAATAGCAAAAGATGCATTCTAAATCTAAGCAAAGTATTAAGAAACAAAGAATACTGAACTGCTATAGTTGCAGGCGGGAAGTAACTGAACAGAACCAAATAAAAATAAGAACCTGACGATATCCCTACACCTGAACAGTGGAACGAGAACAGTCTGCCCTCATAGATTAAATAAAGGGTTCCGTTCAGAATTCCCTGTAGATTACCCAGGTTGATATACACATGAGGAAGGCCGGAGGACACAACAGCCGAAAGTTCTAAGTTCCGTAAAGCAAATGGCCTAGTGAAGTAAAGCGTTGGTTCGTGAATTTGGTAATATTGTGGCTGTGAGTTCAATTCCTGGACCAGGCAGCGTGTAGTTGGAAACGGCTCAATAATAACTGACCAGTACTAAAAAAAAGAACTCGACGAAATATCCCTAGACATGGGCAGTGGCACAGTCTAACACCGTAGATTAAATAAAAAAAAATCAGTTCAGAATTCTCTGTAGGTTACTCAGATCAATGTATACCTGAAGAAGGCCGGAGAGTATAACGGCCGAAACGTTGTGATAGCAACAACAAAGAGGACATTAGTCCGAATATAAATCGTGTAAATAATAGAATCGAACTCACTACTCAGCTGCAAGCGGGAAGTAACTGAACAGAACTAAATAAAAATAAGAACCTGGCAATATCCCTAGACCTGAACAGTGGAACAAGTCTACCCGCGTAAATTAAATAAAGGGTTCAGTTCAGAATTCTAGATTGATATACACTCGAGAAAGGCCGGAGAGCGCAATAGCCGAAATGTTGTGATAGTCGGAACTTAAGTAGTGTAAATAATAATAATAAAAATAAACAAATAAGTAAAGTAAAAAAAAATATTGTACATTAAATGTATGCAAAAGTTTCCATCGTTTTTGTCCTTCTCTATGGCGGTGAATGTTGGACAATCTCCTTAGAGATGAAGAAGAGACTTGAAGTAACGGAAATGTAATTCTACAGAAGAATGCTGGGAATACCGTAGAATGGACATGTGAGCAACAGCAAAGTTTTATGGAAAATAGAAGGAAAACGGAGAATCTATTTACATTATTCGGACTATTGTCTTCATCTTTATCACCATATTTATTACAACGTTTCTGCCGTTGTACGCTCCGGCCTTCTTCAGGTGGTTGTAATGTCAAACTGAACCCTTTATTTCGCTCACTGGGGTCGACTATTCTAGTTTCAGGTACCATGTTTAATGGATGTCAGTTATCAGTTATCTCCTGTTAATTTCCCTCTGAAAGTTCGCCACTACCATAACCGGGTATTGAACTCACACTCTTTGGGTCCTGTCACTGGATCTAACCAACGCCTGTGCCGTGTGTCCTTAAGAACATCTGTGTATGAATTTCTGAGTATTATAAACCTAATGACTTCAGTATATTTTCTTTACCAGTGCTCATATTGCAATTTTTTGCTATTATCAATACATGTTTTTACCAGAGCTCATATTGCAATTTTTGTTGTTATTATCGCTTTTCTCTGGTACTCCTTATTACTGGTTGCCATATTGTATTCATTTTTATGCTTGGTCGGCTCGGGAGATTTATGGCAGTGGAGAACTTGGAAAGAGGAATTAACAGAAGATAACTGATAACTGGCATTCATTAAACATGACGCGTGGAACTAGAACAGTCTACCCCAGTGAGCGAAATAAAGGGTTCATTTCGACATTCCAACCACCTGAAGAAGGCCGGAGCGTACAACGGCCGAAACGTTGTAATAAATATGACACGATGAGGACAATCGTCCGAATAATGTAAATAGTGTACATCATACCTCATCTCAGAAATATAGACAGATACAAAACGGAGACTTCTAATTAGAAAAGACAGAATGAGACAGTTGAATTTTGCAGGACACATAATGAGGAAAGAAGGTTTGGAAACTTTGACACCCATAGGGTATACTTACGGTAAAAGGGACAGATGAAAGCAAAGCATAACCTAACGAATTTGTGTAAATTTTTGACAAAACAGGGATTAGGAAATATAGCAAAAAAGACAAATCTTGCACAAAGCTACAAAGATAGGAAAGTTGTGGTCAGCCATGATTGTCCACGTCCTAATGTTGGAAAATTTCCTCACATATGAAGAGAAGACTTGAGACAACGGAGATGTGTGTCTATAGATGAGTATCTACAAATGTCCTCGCAGATTAAGAGAAAATTTGAGGCAACAGATATGTGTATGCGCAGAAGGATGCTAGGGATACCAAGGACACCGCATGTAAAGCAATGGAGAAGATTTAAGAGAAATGGAAACAAAACGGATAATTATACATAAAACCAGAACCAGTTGAAAATTCTTTGACTCAATGAGGAAAAAAGGCTTGGAAAATTTGAACCTCACAGGGCTTACTGACAGAAGGAAAAAGCAACTAAATTACCTAATTAACTTGTGTAAATAGATGGCAGAAGAGAGATTAGGACGTTGTTGAGAGCCATGATTATCCATTTCCTAATGTCAGAAAATATTTTCATAGATGAAGATTTGATGCAACAGAGTATGCATCTACAGAAGGATGCTGAGAATGCCATAGATATAGTGTGTATGCAATGAGAATGTTTTAAATAAAAAAAAACGGAAACAAAAAGGATGATTTTTCATAAAACCATAGAAAGTTGAAAATTCTGTTGCATTGAGGAAAGAAGGCTTGGAGAATTTGAATCTCACATGTCCTATTGACAGAGGGAAACAGAAAGTAAACTAATAGAACAGGGATTGGGAGGATTGTAAAAAGACATTGCTACAACGTATAGGAAGCTGTGGTGAGCTATGATCGCCAATTTCCGAACAGACACTGCACATTACAGCTATCAGTATCCATTTCTTATTAATGCTATTACCATACGCCATATCCACCTCGTGAAACACAAACTTCGTTGTATGTCGGGTTTTCCTGCTAGTCAGTTTACCAATTTTTAAGTTTCTGTTGCGGTCTCGTTTGTAATCTCGTCGCGTGTCAGGCGTAGCCAGAGGTTAATGATTTGCAACTGATGGAGGGATTCTCAGAAAGACCGGCTGAAATCCAAAGAGGAAACTGATTTAGAACATAAAGCGGAAGTGGCAACATTACCATCAAGGCCACTAGGTTTGGCGCAGGTCAGGCTGTTGGCATGAAGAACGAGATCAAGAGAAATTTGCAACCAAACGAAAAAGAAAGCGAGAAAGAATATTACGGAAATAAAAAAGCGAGGAAGGAAAGAAAGATAAAGAGAAACAGAAAGTGATAAGAAAAGGAAAGACAGCTGATAACAATCTACCATTTTGTTCTAACAGCCGGGGATTTTTTGCCTCACTCGAAGGATTTATTTTTTATAGAATTGTTTAACCGCCATGTCAATAATTTTTATATTGGTTTTTTGTGCACAAAATGCACTAAATTTGACAAGTCAACCTACCAGAGATTGTCATAGTTATATGACCAATGTAAGAATTTAATTCTATTTTTTGATTAACCGCCAACTTACCCCAATTTTTATTTCATATATAGCAAGAACAATAATATACTGCTGTCGAAAATTTTCGAAAATCAGTAAACAGTAATAAGAAGGAACGAGGCATAAACCAGACCAATGTTTGCTTAGATACTCAGACATAAACGCAACTAATGCTTTCGTCACGCATAAACGTGACCATTGATCTCCAGAAGAATGCTCGAAATACCGTAAAATGGACATGTGAGCAACAGCAAAGTTTTATGGAAAATGGAAAGGAAACGGAGACTCTATTTACATTATTCGGACTATTGTCCTCATCTTTGTCACCATATTTATCACAACGTTTCGGCCGTTGTACGCTCCGGCCTTCTTCAGGTGGTAGAGGCACACGGATAAACCCGACCGATTTTTTTGTATAGATGCAGGCATAGACCTGACCAATGTCTTTGCATCGAGTCGGACACGAACACGCTTAATGTTTTCGTAGGGACTGGTATAAAACCGACCAATGTTTTTATAGAAGATCACATATAAACGTGACCAATGTTTGTGCAGAGACACAGTCATAAACCCTACCAATATTTTCATCTAGACACAGGCATAAAATCGCCCAATGATTTTATAGAATATCAGACAAAAACGTGATCAATGTTTGTGTAGAGATACAGGCATAAACCCAACCAATATTTTCAACCAGACACAGGATAAAATCGCCCAATGTTTTCACGATGAATCAAGCAATAAATCTGAACAATGTTTTTGTCGAGACACATAAATAAACCCGACCAATGTTTTCGTAGAGACGTGAGAATTTAAAATGGAAATTATTTGTCATTTACTTAGAATAGTTTGTTATAACATCACTATTATGGAGCACCCAGTGAGCATCGAACTTAATTAATTAGGATTATTGTTCAATCAGACAAGCTCTTTAAACATAACCTCACGTATAGGAAGAATGATATATTACTATTCCCTTAACTTATTAATCTCTAAGCTTAGTCACAAATGTTGTTTTCTCTTGCGTGTCATCTCTGACTTCTTGTGGTTTATTGGCAATTCTCCAGTCACCAAAGCTGCATCACAGACTGAAATCATTTTCGCCTCCTCCTCGCTTTATTTCAATGGTTAGACACGGTTTTAGTAACATCACTTCTTGGGGTAAACGAAAAGAAGAGGAAAATAGAAGGGATTTTAACAGGTCGGCTAGCGACTTGGCATCACCATGTGGTGGCTGGAACTCAGTACGCCAAGGAATTTGGGAGCGGAGACGCGTCTTCACTCTTCTATTGCTTTCTCCATCATGTCAGGGGCATTCCATTACTGTCAAGAATCCACACCCAATATTTAGTGCCACCATCTTAGCCCTTTGCCGCCAAGACCCACCTTGCTATGTATACAACCTTGAATATCCCTAATTCCCTACGAATTCATTTGGTAATAAAGGCGTTCCATTACGAAACTTTCTTCCCAAGAAACGCTACTTTGCCGAACAGTCTCCTGCGTATCCTTGGTATGACGATAAACTACATTCGGCAGCAAGGCCTCTGATCGAAAGAATGGAGATTTTGAGGAGCGTGTACGACCTCTTGATTGATGTTGTTTCCAGGTCTAACTTGACCCAGGGTGGTAGCACCCGTTAGGGTCCCAGTTATGGGCAAATAGTGAACTTCCAAACAAATACCCAATGAATGCATAAAAATTCACTTTTATAGTAAAAATACCAGCAATACATGTTTATATAAAATATATTTATACAATATATTTTTATATTATTAAAAATTAGTAACAATGCGTATTTGTAGTAAAACTACCAATTATACCAATTTATAGTAAAGTTACCAACAATACTTATTTATAGTAAAATTACCAACAGTGCATTTTATAGCAAAATGACCAACAATACAAAATCCAAAGATCCAAAATTTTGATTCAACACTTTTCAACACTTTGTACCAAAAGTGTATACAGTCGACACTTCCATGCTAAAAAAGTTGATTTCGTGTTTCATTGCTGGATTCAACATTTTAGCCAATATATCACCGTTGGTGATTTACCACAATATGGAAGTTTAACAGTCTTCACGATTCATTTGCCATCAATCTATATATGACTGATGGCAAATGAATCGTGAAGAGAGATACTGTTAAACAAGGGCCGAGCACATTGATTCATAAACACTCTGACCATTTAAAGACATCTCAAATGTCCGTGCATTGCATAGAAAGAGACAATTTGCATCTGTATCCATACAAAGTGCAATTCTCAAATCAGTTCTCAAATCGGTATCTATTTACTCCTGTCTTAACAGTAAGTCTAATAGGTTTGTTAAAGTCAGTTTGGAAGCTGATTTATAAAAAAAAATAACCCACAATCTGTTGTTACCTGGAGCAAGAAAGGCTTGTTAATTTTAACGCATCCAAAAGGAAAGTGTTCGCTTTTAATTCCCTGAAAGGATACTTTTTGCTTGTCATCATCATGGCGCTTTCCAACTAAAATAGTTTTCCTGTCTTCTTTGTAATGACTTTCATGATAATTTTTGTGATGAACTTCCATGTATTGTAAAAATTATTACCAGCAATACATGTTTGAAGAAAATTTTTTGCCAACAATGAATTTGTGAAGAGAAAAATATTGCCAGCAATACATTTTTGGAAAAAAATATTTCCAGTAATAAAAATCTTGTCGGCATAAAAAAAAACCCATAGAGGATGATATACCGCAACCCCCCCCCAAAAAAAACCCCAAAAAACCCCCCAAAAAAAACAAAGATCAAAAATTTTGATTCAACACTTTTCAACACTTTGTACCAAAAGTGTATACAGTCGACACTTCTATGCTAAAAAAACACCAGTTGATTTCGTGTTTCATTGCTAGATTCAACATCTTAGCCAATATATCACTGTTGGTGATTTATCACAATATGGAAGTTTAACAGTCTCTCTCTTCACGATTCATTTGCCATCAGTTTTTTTTGCCTCTCATCATTATGGCACTTTTCAGCTACAATAGTTTCCCTATGTCTTCTCTGTAAAGACTTTCATGATCATTTTTGCGATGAACTCCGTGTATTGTACAGTCGATTTCATGAATATAAGCGCAATACAAGATTGGTGGCAAGGTCGAATTCTTTTACAGTTGGAATGGTTAAATGTAACTAAGTTCTATGCTAACACTTTCTTCTTTCTCATCTCACGCTTGTAAAACTTCTTGTTTGCCAGTCAATTTTGATCTTGAAAAATTTAAATGCAATGTCAATCGTTATGTCGCACTGTGCTTAAATTCATAAAATCTAGTTATCACAGAGGAAACTTCACTAATACAATTAGCGTGACGGCGGTGTGAAAGTGACTGAAGCCGAGATGCCAGATCAGGATCAATAACACTGCAGGTTCTTCTTTTATCAAAAACCTCTAAATATATACAGTAGAATCCCTCATATCCGGACTCCCTAATATCAAGACTCCCTCATATCCGGAATCACACTTATCCGGACTCCCTCATATCCGGAATCACGCTTATCCGGACTCCCTCATATCCGGAATCACGGCTTATCCGGACATGATTTTGATGAGTATATTTGAACTATTTGGGTGATATGTAACTCATTTGAAAATTCTGTTTTTCAGGAAATTTATTTTGGATAATTGCTCATGCTGATTTCACCCTAATGGCTTGTATTGGTGCAAAAGATGATGGGAATAAGAGGATAAGAACAACTTTGGAGTTATCGCAAAAAGTAAAAAAGAATTAAACAGACTAGACGCTGGTGAAAGTTCATTGTAACTAATGGCTGAGTTCAACATAGGAAAGTCAACATTTTATGATATAAAATCTTCTAAAGAAACTATTCTCCAGCGTTCACACCGTCACAATGAACAAAGAAATAAAAAACATGATTGTGATGAAATCTGGGCTAAAATTGAAAAAGCTATAGAAAATCTTGTTAGTTTTATGGAAAGAAAGCCAGCATTCAGCTATGTCGATTGCAAAAACGCACGCAGAGTTAAAAAAAAAAAGTGTCTTTCATTTAAAAACTTTCATGAACAAAAGCAAAGCAAAAAGCGGAAAAAGTTGAGAATGACATTAGAAGAGAAAGAATCATCATGCAACAGCGATTAAAAAATCCTCGTTTTGCATACGTGGTATACTTAATTTAATGAATTTTCATTAATATTACATAATTTATTTCTTTTTCCTTAAAATCAATTCCGTTATATTTCATTCACTATTAGCTTATTTTGTTTACTATAAAACATTGAAAATAAATGTTAAACCTGATTTCACTTCTTTTATTTTAATCTAAATATGATCCCTCATATCCGGACTTTGTAACGAATTCCTCATATCCAGAAGGCCTTCTTAGTCTGGCTGTCAGGGATTCTAGTGTAGTGGGAGCACTAGACAAGATATACTGCTTTATTTTTAGTTATTCTCTGATCGTTTACCTAGGTATAGTTTGGTTAGGTTTTGTTTGTTTAACGGCATATCAACTCCTTATGGGTTATTTAATGCCGAAATTAAATTGTCTTGGGAGTTTTAGCAATTTTAATTTTTTTTTTTAAATGTATTATTAGAATTTTTTCTATTAAAATCTATTGCTGGAATTGTTTTTTTACTATTAAAAACTATTATTAGAATTTTTTACTATTAAAATATATTGCTGGAATTCATTTTTATACTGTGAACCCAATTTGGGGGTTAACTATTTGCTCATAGCTGGGACCCTTACAAGTGCTACCACCCAGGGTCAGAGCAGACCTGGGAATAACAGTACTTAGGTGGTTCCAATCTCCTTAAAATCTCCCTATCAGAGGCCTTGCTGTCGGATATAGTTTATCGTCATACCCAGGACAATACCTAGGCATGACGACTGAACACATTACGGTGTACAGACTGCTTCCAATGTTTATCTCACAGGCGTGACGAGAAAATATTTTAAGCCCTCATTTCCTCTGTAGGCCCCGGATACCGGCAATCGTTCCAAATTTATTCCGTTTCCATTTTATTTCATCCCGCTCCCCACACGATTCCAGATATCGGTATGTATCCCCAATCCCCGGAAGTTGCAAGTTGGGAGCCAGCGCATGCGTGGTCACGGCCAGTCACTCACTTCCAGTCATGCGCACATAATGCGTCCGCGCGATGCTAATTCCGGCCAATTAGAGTGTTGATTACTTTCGCTCGAAGACCGAAACCAGGTCAAGAAGGTGCCGTTGAAAGACTTGCCTCAGGTAGGATGCAGTTGATAACGACGAAGCTGACGATGACGACATATTTGTTTCAGTTTTGGCTGCCGATTAAATTATTCCATTAATATTGACAACTAGAGTATGGACAGAAAATTAGATCTATATACAGAGGCAACAGGAAATACACAGAAAATGTACGTAGAGTTAGCTTTCCGAAAGTACAAATATAAGTAAATTATCTATCTATCTATCTATCTATCTATCTATCTATCTATCTGCCCACTTTCTATCTATTTACCAAAATCTGTTCATTTTTTCCACCCTCTCTCGCTTTTTCTATCTATCTATCTATCTATCTATCTATCTATCTATCTATCTATCTATCTATCTATCTCATTCAGCTCATCTCTGTCTATATAAATATAGTCATATCTAATCTTGATCTCTCTCACTATTTCTCTCTCTATCTATCCATTGTCTATCCACCAGTTTCTGTTCATCTTCCCTCTCTCTCTCTCTCTCTCTTTATCTAAATTTAATCATATCTATCTATCTATCTATCTATCTATCTATCTATCTATCTATCTATCTATCTATCTCTCGTTCAGCTCATATCTGTCTATATAAATATTCCTCATATCTAATCTTAATCTCTCTCTCTCTCTATCTATCTATGTTCATTTTCCCTCTCTCTCTTCCTCTCTTTCTCACTCTCTCTCTCTCTATCTGAGCTTAATCCCTATCTATCTATCTATCTATCTATCTATCTATCTATCTATCAAATTTTACTCATATTCAAGCTTAATCTCACTCTCTCTCTCTCTCTCTCTCTCTCTCTGTCCATTGTCTATTTATTTATCAATCTTTGTTCATTTTCCCTCTCTCTCTTTTTAACTCTCTCTTTCTCTCTCTCTATCAATCTATCTGAATTTACTCATGTCTATCTAAACTTGATCTCTCCACATATATTTATGTATGTGTAATTTTATCTATCTATCTATCTATCTATCTATCTCAGTCCAGGTTCGCTATATACATCTCTCTTTTATGTGCAATGTCCCTTCTGGGCGTAGGCTATCATGACCGTCTACCGCCTCCTGTCACTTGTAAATCATAATAATTTTGTCTTTTTGTTATTTCTCCCAGACCCTGTTCTGCCATCCATTTGTTCAAGCCCATTACGTAAGCCAAACCTTGCTTTCCCCTGTCCATCTTTCCCTCTATCCGTCATGTGAGTATCAAATTTTCCAAGCACTCCTTTCTCATTTCTTGTCCCAGAAAATTTTAGCTGCCTCTTCTTGATGTTAAGTATAAGTTTCCTTTTTGTTTCCATTTTCTCTGAAACCTCGTCATTGCTCACATATTCGATCCATGGTATCCTCAGCATCCTTCTGTAGAAATTTCAACTGTCTCTTCCTGATGTTAAGTATAAGTTTCCTTTTTGTTTCCATTTTCTCTAAAACCTCCTTGTTGCTCACATGTTTGGTCCATGGCATCCTCAGCATCCTTCTGTAGAAATTTCAACTGTCTCTTCCTGATGTTAAGTATAAGTTTCATTTTTGTTTCCATTTTCTCTGAAACCTCTTCATTGCTCACATATTCGGTCCATGGTATCCTCAGCATCCTTCTGTAGAAATTTCAACTGTCTCTTCCTGATGTTAAGTATAAGTTTCATTTTTGTTTACATCCTCTCCAAAACCTCATCTTTGCTCACATGTTCAGCCCACGGTATCCCCAGCATCCTTCTGTAGAACCACATTACTGTTGCTTTGAGTCTCTTCTTCATCTTTGTGTAGACTGTCCAGCATACGATTTCATACAAGAGGACAGATATCACGCAACAGTTCAATACTCTTTTCTTTGTTTTCAACGAAATTTTTCTGTCTCTTAATACTCTGCTTAGCTTTTGGAATACATCTTTGGCCATCACAATATGTTTTCGGGTGTCAGCGTTGCACTTTCCGTCCTCTATTAGAACACTTCCCAAACTTTTTTTATTTTTTTTAAGCATTTCACCCAAGCAAGGCAGGAGTGCCACTAGTACCACGCAAGTGGTTACAGAGAGTGAGAGCAAGAGTAAAGAGGGGGGTGTTTGAGGAAAGGATAAAGAGAAGGATGGTGATCGCGATCAAGGCATCAGAAGATGTCGATTGACATTAGATTTGAATATTATAGCTATCAGGGAAGCAACTAGAAGAAAGGGAGTTCCACTGGCGGGAAGTGCGAGAGAAGAAGCTGTTGGAGTAGAAGAGGAGGTTACATTTAACTGTTTCGACAGTGAAAAGGTGGGAGCGAGATGCCAAACTTGTAGCACGCTTAAATTATTAAGCATTTCATCCTAAGCAAGGTGGGAATGCCACTAACAAGCAAGGGGGTTACAGAGAATGAGAGTAAAAGTAAAGAGAGGTGTTTAGCGTTTGGAATGCGTTTTTGGCCACCCCAATACGACTTTGGATCTCAGAGTCGTACTTACCCCACTTTCTCACATTTTTTCTCAGATATTTAAATTTCCGCACTTGCTTGATTTTACAGTTCTGTAAATGGTATTTCGGGCACATCATTTTTACTGATGACCATGCATTCTGTTTTCTTGTAGTTTATGCTTAGTCCCTTCCTCTCGCTCTCCTTCGCTACCTTCTGTTTGAGGTTTTGTAGGTTACTTTCCATGCCTGCTATCAGCACAGTGTCATCTGCGTACCTTATGTTGTTAAGATTGTGGCCGCCAATGATGAATCCTGGTAGGATTTCCAGTTTTTTTTTCTTCATCTTTAAGGATATCGTCCAACATTTGCTGTTGTAAAGGAGGGCAGATATCACGTAGCAGTTCAGTATTCTCTTCGTGGCCAACGAAACCTTGTCTCGTAATACGCTGCCTAGCATTTGGAATGCGTCTTTGGCTATCCTAATAGGTCTTCGGATCTCAGCGTCGCACTTACCGCCCTCTGTCAAAACATTTCCCATATATTTAAATTTCCCCATTTTAGTGTCCTCGACCTGTAAATCATATTTCGGCCTCATCTTTTTGCTGATGAACATTCATTCCGTGTTCTAGTAGTATATGTTTAGTCTCTTGTCGCTCTATTTTGCTAGGAGGTTTTGTAGTCTTCTATCAGTGTTTGATATCAGAACTGTGACATCTGCCTTTCTTATGTTGCTAAGATTGTGGCCGCTAATGATGAATACTGGTAGGCTTTCCAGTTCTCTCAGAAATGCCTCGCTGTATAAGTTGAATAGGTCCGGTGAGACAGCACATCATTGTCTTACGCCCCTACCTATTTCTGTATATCTGCTGAATTCATTTTTTATCCGCATGCAGGCGGTTATCTGTCAGTAGGGATTATTGACTATTGTAATATCTTTCCTGAATATGTCAAGGTTGCTAAGAAGTTCCAACAGATCTTTGTGGCATACTTTGTCGAACGCCTTTGCGTAGTTTATAAAACATAGGTACACGTTCTTCTGCATTTGTATTGCTCTTTCTGATAACATTATGAGCATGAATATTGCATTTCTTGTTCTGGTGCCTTTGATGAACCCGCCCTCTTCTTATCCTATCACTGGTCTGATTCTTTTGCGCGCTCTATTCGTCAGAATTCGGATGATGAGTTTTGTTATGTGGCTCATTAGGCTGATCGTTCGGTCGGGGTTCACATTCGTTTATGCCTGGTTTCTCAGGCAATGCTGTGTAAATTGCTTAGATATTCCGGTGTAGCACCAGTGTTGTAGATTTCGCTTATTATTTCTATAATCTTGTCTATCACGAAATCATCTAAGGCTGTCGGCATCTCTATTACAATTCCGTCTGGCCCTGCCACTTTGTTTCTGTTCAATTTGACCAGTGCGGCTTCCACTTCAGTTTTTAGTATTTCCGGTTCGTCGGTATTTCTGTGTGTTGTCGATTGTTTTCTTTCGTCGTGGAATAGGACACTAATATATTTTTTCCAGCGGTGAAGATTTTTTTTCTTTCTCTAATATGGGCGTTCTGTTCTTGGATTTTATACAGCCTGTTGATGAGCCTCTCTTCTGTCCTGTTAGTTCCCTTATTTTTTATGCATGTCTCCTTTACCTGTGATACTCATTTTCTTTATTTCATTTTTCGTTGAGCCATTCTTCTTAACCTGCCTGCATTTGTTCCTTATTTCATTGTGCAGCTTTCTGTATTCCGTTCCCTGTCTTGGCATTGTTTTCTGTCACTATTTCACCGTGTATAGAATCTCATCTGTGATCCATTCCTTTATTCTTCTCTGTCCATTGTTCTTTGGGATGTTGTTTTCTAATGTCACTAAAGCCCTCCTTAGTGTGTCCCATTTCGAGATTTCATTTCCATTTTGACCCTCGTATTTTCTTTTCACACTGTCCATATATTTTTCCTTCAGGTTCGAATCGTTCAAGAGTCTTCTCTCTTGCAGTTTGGATGCTGCGTTAGGCATCCTCAGTTTTCATTTTTTACATATAACAGGGAGGTGATCCCTTCCGCAGTCGGTACTTGGATAGGTTTTGCACTGAACAACTGCATTCCTGAATCTTTTATTAATACTTATACAGTCAACTTGGTTTTTAGTTTCTCCTCCAGGGCTTCTCCATGTCCATAATCGTCTTGGATTTCTTGGCACCAGATGTTGGCTATTACATGGTCATTGGCCGCGTACCATTAGACCCATTTTTCTTGCGGGTTGCTAGTCCGAATTTGCCAGCTATCCTCCCTACCCTCTCCTTACTTACTTTGCCATTTAGATCACCCATAACTTGTGATTTGCATCTTGGCGTTGTCTAGCATGAAATAGAAAGATTTGATTTCTTCTTCCGTATTTTGTGCTGTCGGTGCATACACTATTATAATAGATATGTTGAAAGGCTTTCCTTTCAGTTGAACTACAATAATTCTTTCAGATAATTAACAGTATCCCAGAACGCATTTCTCGATGTCTTAATCTAGTATTAATCCAATTCCTTTTTCATTTTTCTTTCCGCCTCTATATATAATCTAATGATTGTCACTGACAAAATCTCCGTTGTTTGACCACTAGTTTCACATACTTCTAAAATATTGATATTTAACCTACTCATCTCCTGTTTTATATTTTCCAACAGGTCATATTTGTTTAACGTTCTAACATTCCATGACCCAAGAGTTATTTTTGTTTGATGCGTGCAGTCGCTTAATGACGGTCCAGAGACACCTGTCGCCCATGTCGCTCCTTTCCGGGCGAGGGATCAGTTCCGGGAATTTGATCCCCTTCACGCCGTTTATGCTGACAGTCGCTAAATGCATATGTCGGTCCTTACCGAGCGAGGAGTATATTCCCATAGACTTAACCCACTTCACACTGTTAGGTTTGAAAATTTGTTTGTTAATTGCCACGAGAGATCATGGAGTTAGTAGTGGAGTGTTTTCCTGTTGTCTTTTCCAAGGTGGTTTATGAAGACACCACCCTCTAGTTAGCTGGGCGTTGATTCATTGACAGTACTTCCAGCCTCAGTTAGGTCTTAGTTTTCGTCCTACTGCATTGCTAACAAGATACCTCACTCGCAAGAACATGGAGTTGGGTAGCCGGTTTAATCGCCGACCACCCAAAAGTAGAATACTGACCTATATATATATATATATATATATAAGATATAAGTTTGTATAATTTTATATATATATATATATATATATATATGTATATATATATATATAAAAGGAAGAAGTTTGTATAATTTTTATATAAACAAACGGTATTTAGATGGATATGACAAACTGGTAAGTTTTTCTGTGACGCGTATATATATATATATATATATATATATATATATATATATATATATATCACCCTATGACTACTTGTAATTGCAGAATCATTGTTATTTTCCTAAAAAGTTTTTAATGTAATATTACTCGAAAAAATAAAAAAAATTCTCATAATCCGAAATATGTTCGGCTCTAATTAACAAAGGTTATATAAGCCGTAAAAGCAATATCTATCTATCTATCTATCTATCTATCTATCTATCTATCTATCTATCTATCTTAGTCTGTTCTTATCAAGGTACACGCAGGGATACATTTCAGAACTTGAAACAAAATATTATATATATATATATAGAGATATATACGTGTGTGTGTGTTTGTTTGTGTGTATGTGTGAGTGTGTGTGTGCTATTTCAAATTTAAATTGCGAAAGTGATTCAAATATTAGGAAAACTGTTGACTTTCGATAAATATTGAATGTTTTTTACTTATATTTTAATAATAATAATATATATATATATATATATATATATATATATATATATATATATATATATATATATATATATATATATATATATATATATATATATATATATATATATATATATTACAAACCCACACTCACGTATAAAAACAATAAAAAAATCAACCTAACATAAGTAGTTAGCTCTCTGAACTAAGATATTAAATGAAACTTAGTATAAAAGTTACAAAAATTCAGAAAAAAGTCCGAAACCTCCTGACGAGTGGACGGAACATTTGCAAATGGTTCGTCTAAGAAACTCCGGAGTTGATATGCTGAATACAACATCTGTTACCTAAGTAACAAATCTGATATATGTATTAATCATATATATATATATATATAGGTAAGATGAGAATGAATAGAGTACAATTTCAACGTTAATTTAAAAGAGGGCTCAATACAAAGCAGAACAATATTATTTATTTTAGGATATTACATTGGAAACATGGCAAAATCGCTGCAGAATTGCAATTGTGTTTCGATCAGAATAGACTCAGATAGATAGATAGATAGATAGATAGGAATAGGATGAGATAGATAGATATAGAAAGACGGAGGTAGATATAGAAAGACCGTTATAAATTGATAGATAAATATATATGAATAAGATAAGATAGATACATAGATAAATATGAATAGGATGAGATAGATAGATAGATAGATAGATAGATAGATAGATAAAGACCGAGATAGATAGATAAATAGACAGATATGAAAAAGATGAAATAGATAGAAAAGTAGATAGAGAGTATGACTGTCAGAATTGCTGATGGCTGCCGTTGATAGACCGCCGTGGAAAAGAGTGTGGCTTCTGCATTCGGATCCGCCCTACGATTGCAAAAGTCAAGGGGATGATGATGATATAAAACTCCAGGATCATTTTTCCTCAGTCTGAAGATTGTATTAGGGCGAGAAATTTACACTCACTATACACTGTTGAATCCTGTGTCGACTCTATCTATCTTAGAGAACGAGGTCTTTTCCACTATGAATATGACAATTTTAAATTCTATCTATCTATCTATCTATCTATCTATCTATCTATCTATGTAAGCAAATATATGGATATAGATCCGATAGTATGAAGTAAAATATATACGGAAAAAACAAACAAAAGTTCTTATATGCAATTATGCTGTTTTAATGTTAATATATACATATATAATTATTTATTCGAGAATTAGAACATAAACCTGTTATAAAATCACTTCAAAAATACACTGTTGAAACCTATGTCGACTCTATCTATAAACACTCTATCTTAGAGAACGAGGTCTTTTCCACTATGAATATGACAATTTTAAATTATATATATATATATATATATATATATAATTATTTATTCGAAAATTAGAACATAAACATGTTATAAAATCACTACAAAAATAACCATTTTGTTTCAACACTTATTCTACATTCAACACTATCACAGAAGTACTGAAAGAAAATGGCTGATTTTGTAGTGATTTTATAACATGTTTATGTTATAATTTTCGAATAAATTATACTTGCTCTACACTGTATTGATCACTCTTTTAAGAATAGTACTTGTTGGTTATTGGAATTTATTCCGTATACACCAATCCTATACTTGGAGATGACAAAGTACGCTAGGAGCTATAAAGGATAGAAGATCGTGGAGAGCCATGATCGAACACATCCTGAAGAGACAGGCCTTGATTCAGTCATCTGACTGGGCAGGAAATGTTATCCAGCATGAACTGCGCAAGGGGTCACCTCTTCAAAGCGCAATAGATGTTTTAATTAGCATAAACAAGGACTGGAAAATATGCAACTTTTGGTAACAGTCGTTAAAAGTGTGTGTATATAAATATAAATGAATATATATATATATATATATATATATATATATATATATATATATATATATATATATATATATATTATATTATATGCGTGGTACTTATTAAAAGCGCTCGATATCAGAGATAGAGCTAACATATTTGGTTGGATTGATGTAAGTTTCTGACCCTGGGTTTCACGCTTTTGCGATCGTCAGATAAATGTCTTAATATATAAACTCACATCAATCCAACGAAATATATATTTATATATATATATATATATATATTTTATCTTTTTATATATCTTTTTATAGATACAAATATTTAAGTAAATGCTCTGTTTAACATTTACCGGACTCAATGTCCGAGAAATTTTCATAGAAAATATTCGTCCTCCGAAAATTTCTCGGGCATTCAAGCCGGTAAATGTTATTTAATACTGTTTATCATAAACAGATCATTTACTTAAATATTTGTATGGATAAAAGGTTCTATAACATAAAAAAATTTATATATATATATATATATATATATATATATATATATATATATATATATATATATATATATATATTAAAAAGAAGAGAAGAGAGGTGCCGCAAACGTTTTTGGTTGTAATGTGGATTTATTTAGAAAAAAATATGTTTTATTTTCCATAATTTTACTACACGCGTTTCTGTTCTCGCGACCATCTTCAGGTAAAAGCGGAGATTTTCACATATTATTAAAAATAATTAATTTTTCCTTATGTTTTTCAGTGTCAAAAATTCTCGATACGAGACATTTTCTGTTTTCGTGTTAGTAATCCGAATGTCTTTCTTGAATTGGCAATGAAGAGTTCTGCGCGAAGGGTCATGAAACAATTAAGGTTGGTCCAAGCGAAATGATGAATTACTTATCGGCATTTTATCTTTTAATGTTTTACTGACCCCTATGTGTTCTTGGATCTGTTTCCATTTTCGTATGTTTCTGTCTGTTTATCTGATCCTACTCATTATCTATCTATCTATCTATCTATCTATCTATCTATCTATCTATCTATCTATCTCATCCTATGTTAATACATTAACATGAGACAATTCTATTGTGGATGTATAGCGGGACGATACAGGGCCTACTAGAGAGAAGAAAGCGGGAAAGAAGGACTAACTATCAACTGCAAAAGAGGATGGAAAATGCGACACCGAGATCCAAACAAGCGTTGGACTAGCGAAAGAGACATTTCAAAAAGTGTGGAGAAACGATCAACATTCATAAGAAACAAATAAAAAGGTTCTGGATTGCTGTGTTATCCATCCTCTTATTTAACAGTGAAAGTGGAACAATTTCCTTAAGGATGAGGAAAAACTGGAAGCGGGAGAAATGTGGTTCTACAGAAGGATACTGAGAATTCCATGGACGGAATGATTAAGCAACGTGGAAGTCTACAAGAAGAGGGCAAGTCAAAATCAGGAAAACAGGGCTGAAATTCCTTGAACACATGATGAGGAAAGAGGGCTTGGAAAACTGAATTCTCACAGGGCAGAGAAATTTCGGGGAAGGAGGCAAGCCTCTTAACTGACGAGCTTGAGTGAATGAATGACGGTACAGGGGTCCCTTAACAAAGAGAGAAAAAAACTGCTACGTGCCACACAAGATAGAACGTTGTGGAGAGCCATAATCGCCTATGTCACGAAGGAACGCGGTGCATACAAGAAGAAGCAGCTATGATGTTGACAGTAATTAATCCATTATAGCAAAGCAACCATTTTTTTTAAAGATGAGGTCAAATAAAATTTAAAATCAACCAGTTCTAAGACTAACATTAGAAATCAAGGTAGACAAGAAAAAAAGAGTTAAAGTCTTAAGTAAATTCATCTTTTATATTTTTCTCATTCCCCCTAGACACAGTTTTTCTCTCCCCTTCATCCAATATAAGCATCTGAGAGACAGTGGCACCCCGCCTTGCTTGGGGTGAAATGGATAAAAAAATACTAGGATGAGATGTTTAAAAGATTTACATTGTCTGGACCATGGTCTTCCGCTTTATAGTAATATTCACGACGTTTCGGTCGTTGTATGCTTCGGCCTTCTTCAGGTGATATACGTAGGATTTTCGAACCGAGCTCTTTATTTCGTCCGCCGGGGACTATCGAGAACTCCATAAGGACACATTTAAAATAAAAAATGGAATTAAACAAAACTCGATACGTAAAATATAAGTATATAAAATATATATATATATATATATATATATATATATATATATATATATTAGTGTATTTTCTAATAACACTGTATTCAATAATTAATGTTTCATGCCTTCTCTGATTTAATAACTAAGAAAATTCTTGTTTTGTTAGAAAGAACACTTCAACTCAAAATCAGGAAAAGGCAACTGAAATTACTTAGACACAAAATGAGGAAAGCTGGCTTGGAAAAATTAACCCTCACGGGGCACAGAGAATTTCCCAAAATTAGTTTAGCCATTTATCTGACGAACTTGAGTGAATGGATGATGGAACAGGGACCCTTAACAAAGAGAGAAAGAAAAAAAAACTGCTACATGCCACACAAGATAAAATGTTGTGGAGAGCCATAATCGCCTATGGTATGAAGGGACGCGACACACAAACGAAGAAGACCTCAAAAGGTGATGTTAGGCATTAACATGTTGAATTATTTCCCCTCTCCTACCTGTTTTATTTTTTTGAATATTTTCATGCTACCGTTTTCGTTGTCTTTCCCGGTATATTTTGACAGATGATGGAATTGGATAATGGCTCCGAATGAGAAAACGGAGAGACAAGTTCGAACTCCAGTCAGGTTCGTTAGATTCAATTAAGAGCATATAACCTTGGAAAGGCATTAATCCAACTCTTCTCCTCCCAGTTATGGGTTAAATAGTCGGACTCGTATCTAGAAAAATCATTCTTATTCTTAAAAGACATTAATGCAAAATTGACTCACAAAAAATAATTATTCTTACAATTCAATATACATTTCCCCTTTAAATGAACCAAAAAGCGTTGATAAACCGTAAATAATGAATAAATAATTAATAATATATTAATAATAATAAATCTGATGGATTTGGAATAATAATAATTATAATAATAACGTTGATGGATCGTAATAACTACTACTACTACAACAACTACTAATACTACTACTACTAATAATAATAATCCTGAGCAATACGAAAAATTCTTCGAAATGATTAAAGGCAATTGTCATTTCAAGAGAATCGCCTTCGGATATTCAGTTTTCATTTCAGTCTATCTTTTTTGCTTCTTTTTTCAAAGGGAAGTTGTATTGGTTTTCATATTTCTATTCTAATGGTTAATGTTATGTTGAAATATTCAGATTTTTAGGCAATTTTTTTTTTTCTTTTTTTTTTGTGTGTTTGTTTGTTTTTTTTTTATTTTGGAGGGAGATCTTTCAAGGGTTATTGCGTTATGCTTTTCTTTTCTTGCGTTTTATTCATTCCTTTGAAACAAGGCCAGGCAAAGATAATCGTATTTACTGCTTATTTGACGCCCAAAGAATCGCTTTCTTTATTCAATATTCGGCGCTATTCACACAACCGCCATTTTGTTTCTTCCATATTTTTTTTTCCTTTTTAGTTCTACTAGTTTTTTCATTATTTCTATCTCTATATATTATTTATTTTTTTATCCTTAATCCGCCTTTTTGGTTATTTTTCTTTCTTTTCTTTTCTTTTTTGTCTGTTTTTACTTTATTGTTATTGTTGCTTTCTCTCTGACGACTGGAGGTGAAATTCATGCTTTTTCGCAAGATACCACGTAAGACAGTAACGTTCAGTAGATAGTTGTAAGGATATATATAGCTGATAATATATATATATATATATATATATATGTGTGTGTGTGTGTGTGTGTGTGTGTGTGTGTAAAAAAATAGAATTAATATAAGTAAAGTTATGTCAATGAACTGATTGATGTTACCTTCAGCATCTTGACTCCAGAGTTTCGTAGGCGGGTCTGTCCTGCCAATCTTCAGAGCGTACCAGCAATTTTCTGAAATTTTCGTAAATTTTAAGTCGATACCTCTGATGATAAGACGGATGGAGGGTCCGTCTTCGAATCTCTGGAGTCGTGATGCTGGAGGCAACATAAATCAGCTAAGTTTTGACAAACTTTTACTTATATTAATTCTATTAATTCTGTATCTTTGATATAGAACACGTTATTACAAAGACTGCTTGCCTTAAATGTCTTTTCTATCAGTACCCCTCAGTTAATTTTGTTTTTCATACGATCTTTGAAATCGCAATATATATATATATATAATATAATATATATGTATATATATATATATATATATATATATATATATATATATATATATATTATAAAAATTAATAATTTAAAAATATGGTTTCATCGAATTTAACACATGAATTGCCATTTTTCAAAACCTAATCTAAAAATATAATTAAAATTTAATTATATAATTAAATTAAATTAATTTTTTAATTATATAATTAAATTTTAAGTTTTTTATTAAATTTTTTTAAACATGGTAAAATTTTGTTAAAAAGAAGAAAACCATATTTTAAATCAATTAATTTATAATATTTATGCTCTGTAAATTTAAATTGAACAGTGTTTTGTAAAAAAAAAATATCAATAAGAATAATAATTATATATCTTATTGTTCTTTCTTTTATTACATATATATATATAATATATATATATATATATATATATATATATATATATATATATATATATATATATAGAGAGAGAGGCACTGTTTTGATACAGCAAACACTAAACTGAATCAGTATATCGCCAAAATGTTATCTATTTCTTAATAAGATATTTTAATATCTTATATAATAATATGTATTTCTTAATTAAGATATTTTTAATTTTAAATATTCAGGCATGTTTCTTTTGGGGGCATCGATAAGCGGGGTTATTTGTTTTGTGTTTTTAGCATTTTTAGAAGCGAGCCATCGTGTATAGATAAAGGAGAACAATTGAAATAGAAAAGTTTTAATTTTATCCCTTTGGGGTCAAATTAAGATGCATACTAATTTTTTTTTAAAGATGTAAACCAGTGCAAATTATTTTAGGAATAAGATTTGCAATTGCAAGCCATATATAAACAGGACCTTATATGCATACTTACGAATATATATATATATATATATATATATATATATATATATATATATATATGGTTTTCAATGGGAATTATTGCCATAAAAAATACATTCCAAAGACAATCATGTATCTTTTGATACATGACTAACGATTTTTTTTTATCGCAAGTATATTGCCATTTCTTTAAAATGGTAGACCAGTTGCCATCCAAAGCTATAGAACAATGTCCTGCTATTTATCCATAGCTGGGTGTTGGGGAAGAAGAACATTCATACCTTTCCCAGGGTATTAATTATAAGTTAATGCAAAAGGATTCGACTCGAATTCGAATATATATATATATATATATATATATATATATATATATATATATATATTATTTATGAATTATTCATACAAAAAAAAAATACAAAGGTTAATGATTTAATTGGCGAGAAATCCATCGTCGCAAACAATTCAAATAATATACAAAAACCCCGAACCTGTTTATGAATAAAAAGATCCTTGTTTTTATAAATTTCTGTTGCATAAGTTCTTATTATTTTTACAAGCTTTCGTCTGCTTCTACAGACATCCTCAGGTATGGAATAGATTTTGTTCTTGTTTTTTACTCTCAGTAATAAGAGGACAACGAAAATATATATATAGTAATCCGAAAATGCTATTAGAAATGAGTTATTGTTTTTGATCGTGCAGTCGCAACGCTGAGTTTGAATTTAAATTTTTTAATTTGTGCGTTCTTTGTACAAATATAGTGATGAGTGAATTCTTTTTTACTGGTAAATATTCTGTCAAAGTGGCATGAACTATATTGTTCAATAATTACAGTAATGTCGCAAAATTATCCAAAAGTTGCATTTGGATATATATATTTTAATTTCAATAAAGGTGCAATTAATTTACAAATTCATGAATTATTCATACAAAAAAACAAATACAAAGGTTAATGATTTAATTGGCGAGAAATCCATCGTCGCAAACAATTCAAATAATATACAAAAAACCCCGAACCTGTTTATGAAATGAAAAGATCCTTGTTTTTATAAATTTCTGTTGCATAAGTTCTTATTATTTTTACAAGCTTTCGTCTATTCCTACAGACATCCCTCAGGTATGGAATAGATTTTGTTCTTGTTTTTATTCAGTAATAAAGGACAAATATATATAAATTCGCCTTTCTCACTGCCGGGCAAAATAGCCTAAAGGGTCATAATTTATTTTTTTTGTATTCTAAACTAAGAGTAAGTCATATTTCTTTCAAATCAGATTGATTAAAGTTTGGATTTTTAATAAAAATAGTTACGTTGTGTTGTGACAATTGTAAATATGACGGAAAGCAATAATTTTTAGGGATTCAAAAATCAAATGCATTGTTGTCAATTTAAATTCATTTTGAAATACGGCAAAATATTTTGCTTAATGAAAATATTTCATTTAATATATTAGCTTGAAATTAAAACTAATGGCCCAAGAAATACTTTTCATTTTTAAAAATTAATTTTAAAACTTTTATATATATGTATATATATATATATATATATATATATATATATATATATATATATATATATGTATATATATATATATATATATATATAATAATATATATATATTTAAGGTTTTTTTAAATTTAATTTTAATTATAAATATATATATATATAAAAACATATACATAAGTTTTAAAATTAATTTTTAAAATGAAAATGAAATATTATATATATATATATATATATATATATATATATAATGAAATATAATATATATATATATATATATATATATATATATATATATTTGAAGTGATGAATATATATATACGGGATATATATATATATATATATATATAGATATATAAAAAATAAAATCTATTATATGGAAATGTATATTATGTATATTAAATATATATATATATATATATATATTTATATATATATATATATATATATATATATATATATATATATATATATACATTAATTAATTTACCCTTGGGAAAGGTATGAATCCTTTTTTCTCCCTCCAGCTATGGGTAAAATAGCAGGACAGACTGGGTTTTATAAATTTGGATGGCAACTGGTCTAGGGATTGGACAACTCTGAATTCAAAAACCCGTAAGGTTCGTTTGGGAACCTTGTGGCACTTTGATGCACCAGGTACTCTGTATTCGTCCCTTCAAAAAGTGTGGATGGTCCTGCACGAAACCTTCACCACTATAATCATAACTCATGTGCTGGTGTCGGGCTGTCGGTTTCCTAGAAACTGATCAGCTTGACCCTCATAAAAAATCTCGACAGGAGAGTCGATTATATATATATATATATATATATATATATATATATATATATTTTATAGAATTATGTAAACATAGGTACGGTAAATTGTCTGTGGCTGAACGTTCATAGAATGTCCATTAATGAAAGTCCATTTGATTCCTGTAAATGACACATATTTCTACGAAATTTTTGTGGAAAATTCAGGCCACATGAATTAATATATATATATATATATATATATATATATATATAGAAAAACAATGTGTGTGTGTGTGTGTGTTTGTTTGATTGAATAATATAAACCAGGTCTGTTAATGAAATTCATTGAGGAACACGCCCCGGTAATTTTAGAAAACAAAGTAAAAAAATTTCTCCAAGGTCATCATCAGGGGTGAATTACGAAAGTAAATGCCATGGTGATCATTAGAAAACAGAACACGCTCTTTTTTAATTATTCTAAAATATATCCGTGGTAGCTATATTATGTGTACATTATTCAATGAGACATATTTAATGAAGATATATGATATATATATATATATATATATATATATATATATATATATATATATATATATATATATAAGGCATATATATATATATATATATGATATTATTCAAATAAAAACGTATAACGAACCTGTCCCTCCTAAATGGAACCGTGATATACTCAGAAACTTGATGACTGATTTAAATCATTTATATGAGAGATTTCGTCTAGCTAGGTCGATTGTACTGTTTTTTTTTTTTTTTTTGGATGACCAAATATATTTAAAAATAGTAAAATTGAACAGGGGTATGAGAAAATTGATATAAGATGAAAGAAAAAGAGGCTATTTTCTTGTCCCAAATATATATATATATATATATATGTATATATATAGATGTCCATTGATATATAAAC